GTGCGCATATCTATATAGATATGAACTATAAATCTATCTGGAAGTTTACACACAAATATATGTATATTGTGTGTTTATGAATATCTATACCTATATCTATATATGTATATATATGAAATATATTGTTGTTGTTTAGTTCAGTGTTTCCCAACTGGTGTTCCGCGGCACACTGGTGTGCCGTGAGACCTTGCCTGGTGTGCCGTGGGAGGGAGGCGGGAGAGGCGGGGCGGCGGCGGCATCTCCTGCTGGATGCAAATCCAAACATGGCGGGCGCCTCCCTCGCTCCTTTGTAGGCGGACCATCAAGAGAGAAAGAAAAGGAGGCGAAAGAGCGAGAGAAGGCGCCTGCGCGGAAAGAGGAGCGAGCAGTGCGCCTGCGCGCCGCGGCGCCCGAGATCGCTTCTCCCCACCGCCCCTTGCTTCAAAAGAGGTCCGGGGACAGCGGGAAGCGCTTCGCGCTGCCCCCGGACCTCTTTTGAAGCAAGGGTTTGCGGGGAGAAGCGATCTCCCCGCAGCCCCTTGCTTCAAAAGAGGTCCGGGGGCAGCGGGAAGCGCAGCGCTTCTTCCCCGCTGCCCCCGGACCTCTTTTGAAGCAAGGGGCTGCGGGGAGATCGCTTCTCCCGGTGCTCCGAAGCGGGGCGGTGGGGCGGGAACCTCGCACCCGCCACCGGGCATCGGAACGATGCCCCGATGCCGGGCGGTGGGGCGGGAACCTCTCCCCCCGCCGCCCGGCATCGGAACGATGCCCCGATGCTGGGCGGTGGGGCGGGAACCTCGCACCCCGCCGCCGGGCATCGGAACGAGGTCCTGGACCTCTTCTGAAGGCAGGCGGGGGCAAAAGTCTTTGCTCCCCCCGCCTGCCTTCCCGGGACAGCGGAGACTTCTCCGCTGCCCCGGGCGATCTTAAAATGCTGGCGGGCGGGAGCGAAGCGTTCGCTGCCGACCCCCAGCATTTTAAAATCTCCTCGGGGCAGCGGAGACTTCGCTCCCGCCCGCCAGCATTTTAAAATCGCCCCGGGACAGCAGGGGCTTTTAAAATGCTGGCGGTCGGCAGCAAAGCCCTCCTGTCCCCGGAGCTTGCGGGGCGGGAGGTGGGAAGAAGTGCTTTTCTTCCCACCGCCAGCCTTCAGAACAGCCTTCTGAAGGCTGGCAGTGGGAAGAAAAGCCCTTGTTTCCTCCCCCCCAGCTTTCAGAAGAGGTCGGGGGACAAACTGTCCCCGGACCTGGTCTGAAGGCGGTTTCCCTAGGAACGCATTAATTGATTTTCAATGCATTCCTATGGGAAACCGTGCATCGCAAGACGAAAAACTCGCAAGACGAAGAGACTTGCGGAACGAATTAATTTCGTCTTGCGAGGCACCACTGTACTTTTTATATAGTCAATATAGGCACAGAGTTAAATTTTTTAACATTTTCTATTGGTGGTGTGCCTCGAGATTTTTTTCATGAAACAAGTGTGCCTTTGCCCAAAAAAGGTTGGGAAACACTGGTTTAGTTGTGTCCGACTCTTCGTGACCCCCTGGGCCAGAGCACACCAGAGCATGAAATATCTGGTCCACTCCATGGACCAGAGCATGAAATATATATATATATATATATATATATATATATATATATGAATGAAATATATACATGCAGATATAGATTTGTCTGAAATGAGCTATAAATCTATATAGAAATATTTATATGTAATATGTATATGTGTGTGTAGAAGTGATATAGATAACTTTGAAATATATAGATGCAGATACATGGTTTGTGTGTGTGTATAAATATATAAACACACACATACACGCACAATATATATATGTGTGTGTGTATAAAATACAGAATGGAAAGCAAGCTGAACATACAGCACATATCTGTGTTTGTGTGTGTGTGTGAATGAAGTGTGTTTGTGCGCACACAAAATCTATTTACGTGCTTGGCAGGTAAGCCATGACTCCAGAGTAGACCTATAGAACCTAGTGGACTCTGAGCTGCAGCCATTCTTCTCGACATTCATCTGCTCCAAGAAGGAGGAAGGTTTTACTCAGGTGTTGATTTAGCAGGGCATATAGTGGGATGAAGAGCTCCCTCTTTCCCCTCCCTCCCCACTCACCCGTCACCCTTAAAACCTTTCTTGTGAGGCCAAAACACCATCTTCTTCAAGCCCTACCTTAAGGGCAGCCCTGGGCACCCTTACCTGAACTTGGCCGCTTTACATCTGAGTAGACCAGCGCAGGAGGAGACTGCACGGCCATGGTATAAACTATTATTTGCATTGCTGCTCTTTGAAATATCCGGTCATTTCTGTAGTCCGCTCTCTCCCCATTCGAAGTGCTCTTAGAAGTCCTTGTTGTTGTTGTTTGTTGTTTTTTAAAATGTATTTTTATTAAAGATTTTATTGGTTTACAAAAGTACTGTATGTGCAATGTCTCTCTCTCTCTCATTTCCCCCCCTCCAAGTAACATTTTTTACAGGTCAGTTTCATATGTTGAGACATTAGGAAGTTTTTATGTCCGTTACTTAAGTTGCTTTTATTTTGCTTTGAAAAAGAAAAAGAAAAAGGGGGGGAAAGCCAAATGTTGAGAAGACCAACTGCGGAAAAGAATGACAGCTTGGAGAAAGGATTGCAGTTTGGAGAAGACTTAAGCAGCAGGAATCCCCAGAGTCTCTTCCTTCTGTCAGGCATCACCTTTCCCCCAGTTTTGCTTGTTGTAAGGATCCCTAGCCTGAGTCTCTTGCATGTGTGAATATCCCCCATCCTTGGTTTGTGTGTGCATTCGGGTGTTACCGGAAAAATCCGAGGGCTCCCTTGGACAAAAAGTAAAGACACCAACCAGAGTTGTTGTTGTTGTTGTTTAGTCGTTTAGTCGTGTCTGACTCTTCGTGACCCCATGGACCAGAGCACGCCAGGCACCTCTGTCCTCCACTACTTCTCGCAGTTTGGTCAAACTCAAGCTGGTAACCTCGAAAACACTATCCAACCATCTCGTCCTCTGTCGCCCCCTTCTCCTTGTGCCCTCCATCTTTCCCAGCACCAGTGTCTTCTCCAGGGAGTCTTCTCTTCTCATGAGGTGGCCAAAGTACTGGAGCCTCAGCTTCACGACCTGTCCTTCCAGTGAGCACTCAGGGCTGATTTCCTTCAGAATGGATGCATTTGATCTTCTTGCAGTCCATGGGACTCTCAAGAGTCTTCTCCAGCACCATAATTCAAAAGCATCAATTCTGAGTTCCCCTCACTTGCAAGAGAGAGGAAAGACCCAGAAAGATGGTGTGCAAGACCTTATAAAAACTTTTGAAATTCCCCTCCTGTAGCTCAAGCCCACCACCAGAAACATCATGCATACATTACAGAAAGGAGGGGTTGAGGGAGGAGTTATGGTGGTAACCTGAGTGTCCTGTCACCTGGCTGGTTCCTCCTTTCCCCCTCCCCATGAGTCATTTTCTGAGGACAAAAGGTAGTCGCAGTTTCCTGCCCCCTGAGGGAAGATCTGATCATTGTCCTTTGTTCCAGTCCATGCTGAATCCACTCCCATATGCAAGTTCTTTGTGATCTTGATTGTCTTCTGTCTGGGATCATCAGGGTTGGCATAGCAACTGGGCAGGGCTCCTGTGGATGTGTGGTATGGTGAAGGGATTATGGCTGACCAGAACCAAGCCACCCCCTTTGATAGTCCTTGTCATATGGAGTAAAATAAAAATGGAACAGTGCAAATCTGATGTATGGTTGATTTTTCTATGAATTTATAACAGAAGTGTGGCGTATGTAGTGTGTGAGTGTGAGTGTGTGTGAAGTTTGTAAAAACTGAATGATTGGGGTGGAGTGGGGGGTTCCTGCTACAGGGGTTATTCTTGTATTCACTTATGCAAAGAAAAGATCCTGCACTGCGTGTCTCAGGCCTGATCAATCAACTTTGGCAGACGCAGCAAGGCTGTTGTTTAAAGAGAAAGTAAGCAGAGAAGCAACTCCACACGAGGCAGGCTTTGGAAGGTTAAATAGCAAAAGGTTTATTTGGTAACGCTCTATCGGAATGCCACTTGACTCGCAAGGGCATGTCAATGCCAGCATTTTCGTTTTAAACAGTTCTCTCAAAGTGAGGCTCCACTTTCCCAAATGCCCCTGCGAGGCAAGGACAACCACCCACCCACCCACCAGCCTGGGGAAACCAAGGCTATGGACCACAGCATGTTCTGGTCAGGGCCTGCCTGTCAGAGCCAGCTTCACATGCCATTGGTTTGCCTGGGTGTTGAGGAAATACCCATCCATCTGCAGCCCTTGTATGCAAGAAAATGATTCGGGTGATAGAGAAAATTCTCAGGGAGAAATATCCATTGTTCAAGGCACAACCTGCCCGCATCCCTCACTTCCCTAACATTGCCTATGGGGGCCGCCATTTTCAAGGGTTCCCCAACTGAGTCGCTGAGCAGAGATGAGTCGGAAGGCTTGGTGGTCTCTGTTTCGAAACACAGAATCAGAGAATTGTAGAGTTGGAAGGAATCCATTAGGGTCATCTAGTCCAACCCCCTGAATTGCAGGAATCTTGCCCAACATGAGGCCCGAACCCATGACTTGAGATTACAGGTCTCATGCTCTACCAACTGGGCTTTGAAGACACTCGAACTCGGGATGCAAGGGAGAAACATGGTAAGAGGAAAGCATGCTTGGCAAATCCACACCGTGATCAACTCCCTCCCGGAAACCTACATCCCCACTGTGGAAGGATGTGTGGATCCAGAATTGGCCTCCACAGTCACGTACAGACTCATTGTTAAAACCGTGTTTATGGAAGACAAGAAGAAGAAGAAGAGTTTGGATTTGATACCCCGCTTTATCACTACCCTAGGGAGTCTCAAAGCGGCTAACAATCTCCTTTTCCCTTCCTCCCCCACAACAAACACTTTGTGAGGTGAGTGAGGCTGAGAGACTTCAGAGAAGTGTGACTGGCCCAAGGTCACCCAGCAGCTGCATGTGGAGGAGCGGGGAATCGAACCCAGTTCACCAGATTACGAGTCCACCGCTCTTACCCACTACACCACACTGGCTCTCTTACTCGGCTATGAGTGATCGCCAAAGAAGAAGAAGAAGTTTTGGGGCTGGCGGTTCTTCAGTCTTGATTACCTATGTCAGCTTTCCCCAACTTAGTGCCCTCCAGACTCCAGCTCCCATCTTCTTCCCAAAGTTCAGGGATGGTGGGAGTTGCAACCCAAAACATCTGGAAGGCAACAAGGTTGAGGAAGGCTGTACTTGAAGGGAGGCCAGCACTGTTTGTGTGAATCTGGTCCTTAGAATGAAGACAACGCCCTCAGCAGCAAGGCACCCACTGAACTCAGAAGCTAGGAGCCCAGATAACAACATTAATTTATTGTGGCGCTGGGCTGTCAAGAAACCATTTTGTTAGCACCAGTGTGGTGAACCTTTGGCCCTCCAGACATTGATGAACCACAACTCCCATCAGCCCCAGGAAGCAGACCCAGTGACCAGGGATGATGGGAGTTGTAGTGCATTAACATGAGGAGGTTCAGGGATGAGTTCTTGATGGATTTCATCATCCCTTGACTAGCTTGTCAGTCCTTGAGAGTATTCCTGCCCTTTTAAGAGTTCTATGGAAGGAAGTTTTCTTTCCTGGGATAGGTGAGGCTTTACCCAGAAGAATGCTGCATTCATGGAAGAAGCCACAGCTAATGGCCCGGCTTCCATGTCCATCATAAAGGGACAGCAGCTCTCTAAAGTTCTGGCCCTATTGATGGGATTTTTACCCACCCCTCTGTTCAGATTTCCTTCAACTGACACCAACTCCTGACAAATCACGGAAAATCCACATGCAGGTTAGTCCTTCGGTAACTCAATTCATACACTAAATGTTGGCTGATTATCAAGAGGAAGGAAAAACGGACTTGCTTGCCTCTGGGCAGATGGCGTTGCTTTGAACCGGGATTTCATGTGACTTCAGGACTCAGCCAGAACCATTTTTTTCAGTGTCAGGGTTTGACCCTGGGACATGTGAAGGAATGAGGAATGAGTGTTTCTTTGTGCATGAGCAGAGTGCTGAATGGCTACAACCAGCCTCTGCACATCTGAGCTTAAAGGGAACGGCTTCCGGGAGAGGCATGTGCAGGTGCGCTTAAACCAAAAGAGGTTGCTTTAGAAATTCAGCACCATTTCTGACATGTTCATAATAAGTAGAACTTAAAAACACATGGATCTTGATGAGTGCCAAGATGGCGAACATTGTGCTGAAACAATGATGACGACGATAATATTGTCACGATTGCTTGAGGGGCTGGGAACAAATTCTGGGGCTGATTTACCGGTATATCTAATTTCCCCAAAGGCCAGAAATCACAAGATAGTTTGAAGGCCAACGGCACGGAGGTCTGTGTCTAGAAACTCAAAACGTTCAGGCTGAAGAAAGAATCCACTAAGATCGGAAGAAGAAGGCAATGGGAGTCTGAGAAGCAGCTTTCTGTCCAGGAAGAGGTCAAAGGGTCCCCCTCACTGAGCCCGTTTCTGGGACCGCAGTTTGTGCAGCCGCAGCTGGCGAAGGCGCAAGGCGAGATCCTTGGGGACCTTGCCCCCTTTGGCCAGGATCTCCCTCAGCCGTTGCTTGGGTGTCTTTGTCAGGCGGAATTCACACAGGGTGGGGTTGTCTTCATAAGAGACACGGCAACTCCGGGTGACGGAATGGTAGCCCTCGGCCGCAGCAGTGACTTCGTACTCACCGGGGTTTAGCAGGCGCCAGTAGTCCCCGTCGAAAGCTGATGGGTGAGAAGAAAAGGGGAGTTAAGGGAAGCATCAAGCTTCAGGCGGATAAGGCGGTGGTTCCCAATTTTTTTTTATAACCCCCACTCCATTCCAGAAGAAGAAGAAGAAGAAGAAGAAGAAGAAGAAGAAGAAGAAGAAGAAGAGTAGTAGTTTGGATTTGATATCCCGCTTTATCACTGCCCGAAGGAGTCTCAAAGCAGCTAACATTCTCCTTTCCCTTCCTCCCCCAAAACAAACACTCTGTGAGGTGAGTGGGGCTGAGAGACTTATTTGAGTGTGACTAGCCCAAGGTCACCCAGCAGCTGCATGTAGAGGAGCGGAGACGCGAACCCAGTTCACCAGATTACGAGACTACCGCTCTTAACCACTACACCACACTGGCTCTCATCCCCAGTGCCCCTATGGGATGTAGCACCACTGAAGCAGTCAAATACAACAGTTCCTGCTTGCCCAGAGTGGACACACAGGGGAATGTTGCCCCAGCCATTAGGACTTCCTGTCACGCCTGGTCTGGAGCATCCTCCCCATGTTTGTGACCGGGTAGATTGGCGTGACCCTGGCAGGCCCTATAACAGGGCCAGTCATGCAGCCATCTTCCTCTTGACTCTCTTGATCCCATCTCTTCTCGATGCCTTTTGCTGTCTGCTGGCTCTTAGCCAGCAGCACATGGGCTCATCCCTCACAGGAACCCAGACTTTTCTCTGTAACTGTAACTACAAGCTAAAGCCTGCCTTCAGGACCATACTGTGAACTGAATGTAAATAAACCTTATCATTACTCTTAAAAGAAGACTCTTGTGTCATTATTGTTTTTAAGATTGAACTAAAGGGGACGCGGGTGGCGCTGTGGGTTAAACCACAGAGCCTAGAACTTGCTGATCAGAAGGTCGGCGGTTCGAATCCCCGCAATGGGGTGAGCTCCCGTTGCTCGGACCCTGCTCCTGCCAACCTAGCAGTTCGAAAGCACGCCAGTGCAGGTAGATAAATAGGTACTGCTCTGGCAGGAAGGTAAACGGCGTTTCCGTGCGCTGCTCTGGTTTGCCAGAAGTGACTTAGTCATGCTGGCCACATGACCCGGAAGCTGTACACCAGCTCCCTCAGCCAGTAAAGCGAGATGAGCGCCGTATCCCCAGAGTCGGCCACGACTGGACCTAAATGGTCAGGGGTCCCTTTACCTTTAAAGGGGATTGACCAGAAACAAGCCAATCTGGACAAACCAAACTGGATTGCTTAACTCAAATGATTCTCATGAATCTATCAACTAGCTTCCAGTAATGTGCAAAGGCATCTGCTCTGCTACAAGCTCTCTACTGTGAGTGAGGGAAGATAATATTTAATCAATATATCCTCTCCTGCTATCCTCAACATTTCCACACTGGCCCAGGGATGACCAAAGTCCCGTTTTGGGGGCCTAATATGGTCGGTTTAATCTTGCCCAAGTGGCAATTTATTTCCAGGGGTAAAATCCTAAAAAAACACCTCAACAACTATAAAAAAACCCTCAACCCTATAAATCTGGCCCTCTCTGGAAAACGTTTGGACACCACCGCATGAGAAGCATTATCCAGAATAGGAGTTTGCACGACCCACTAAAGAAGATAATAACACAATAAAATTCAAAAGAGTAACAATTAATTGCACATTTACGCAAAAGCCATTTAATACTATTTCATTTGACTGCTTGGAAGACCCTAAGGGAGTCCACCTCTCGAACCCTGATATACAACTAGAGCTGGAAGGAACATAGGAAGCCAACTCATCATTGAATTAGATCTGGAATAGACCCCAAGGGTCATCTAGCTGAACCCCCTGAACCAGACCTTTGCTCCATTCAACTCAGCACAGTCTGCACTGACTGGCAGCAGCTCTCCAAGGTTTCAGGCCAAGGACATTTCCTGCCCTAATTGGAGATGCGGTTGAGGATTGAACCTTCTGAATGCCAAGCAGGTGCTCTATCACAGCTACAGCCCTTCACCAAGGGATCCACCAGTTTTGGTCCTCTCGCTTTCTCATCCCTCCCCCTGCCCCCCATGTTAGATTCTGTTCTCCACATTTCTGCAGCGATCTGCAAATTTTTTAAATTGTGGAAATTCTTGCACATTTCAATGCAATTTCCCCCAATGAGAGCATTTGTGTATGCAGTTTTTAAACTAACGTGCGCCATTCTGAAAGCAGTTTCTCCTAATGTTGTACATTTTTGTATGCTCATTTCACTAATGTACTCATTTTTTGGGACACTTTCTCCTGCCACTTGCATTTCCATAAACATCCTTTGGTTGGATGATAATAATAATAATAATAATAATAATAATAATAATAATAATAATAATAATAATTTATTATTTATATCCCGCCCATCTGGCTGGGCCTCCCCAGCCACTCTGGGCGGCTTACAAAAGAATATTAAAATACTATAATACATCAAACATTAAAAGCTTCCCTAAAGAGGGCTGCCTTCAGATGTCTTCTAAAAGCCTGGTAGTTGTTGTTCTCTTTGACATCTGGTGGGAGGGTGTTCCACAGGGAAGGCGCCACTACCGAGAAGGCCCTCTGCCTGGTTCCCTGTAACTTGGCTTCTCGCAGTGAGGGAACTGCCAGAAGGCCCTTGGTGCTGGACCTCAGCATCCGGGCAGAATGATGGGGGTGGAGACGCTCCTTCAGATATACTGACCGAGGCCATTTAGGGCTTTAAAGGTCAGCACCAACACTTTGAATTGTGCTCGGAAATGTACTGGGAGCCAATGTAGGTCTTTCAAGACCGGTGTTTATGTAGTCTCTGCGGCCGCTCCCAGTCACCAGTCTAGCTGCCGCGTTCTGGATTAGTTGTAGTTTCCGGGTCACCTTCAAAGGTAGCCCCACGTAGAGCGCATTGCAGTAATCCAAGCGGGAATAACCAGAGCATGCACCACTTCTGGCAAGGCAGTCCGCAGGCAGATAGGGTCTCAGCCTGCGTACCAGATGGAGCTGGTAAACAGCTGCCCTGGACACAGATTTGACCTGTGCCTCCATGGACAGCTGTGAGTCCAAAATGACTCCCAGGCTGCGCACCTGGTCCTTCAGGGGCACAGTTACCCCATTCAGGACCAGGGAATCCTCCACACCTGCCCGCCTCCTGTCCCCCAAACACAGTACTTCTGTCTTGTCAGGATTCAACCTCAATCTGGAGAGGTTGCATGGCACATATTGGCTAAGTGCGGGTTTCAAAGGATGTTTTACGATACGATACAATATCTTTATTGTCATTGTCCCATACAGAACAATGCAATTGAAAAATCTACATAAGACATTCAATACCCCCTAAAACCTCTGAAACCCCATTTTAAAATACAATATACTCCCATAGAGACTTTTTTATACTGCGTTTAAAACCAGAATTGCATTTGGGTAGAAAGTGTTTCTCAGGCGGCTAGTCCTAGTCTTTCTAACCCTGTACCTTCTTCCAGAAGGCAGAAGCTGAAAGAGATCATTTCCGGGGTGCACACTATCCTGCGCTATCTCTGCAGCTTTCTTATGGCACCTGGAAGCATAGATTTGATCCAAGTGGGAAGAGTGCACCCAATTATTCTCTCCACAGTCTTTACAACCCTGGACAGCTTTGTTTTTCCCCTGACGTGCAGCTCCCAAACCACACACACAGACCCTAAGTTAATACACTTTCCACAGTACAATGGTAAAATGCCATCAACAGGTCCTTTGAGAGATTGTTTTTCATCGTGCTGTTTCATAGAGTGAGATTTGGGGTGGATCTGCCTTCAGATGTGAAACTGTACCTGTCCGAATGTCATGGTTGATGCCATCCACCGAAATGATGGCGTCCGCAATGCCCTGCTCCGTGTCTTTGTCTCGGACGATGCCTTTGATGCCCCTTCGGGTCTGTAACGAGACGCCTGGTTAGCACCACATTGACTGAAAGGACCTGGCCTTTGAGACTGAGCAACCCATGTGCCCAGCAGCAAAGCGCAAAGAAAGAAATCAATGGGGTGCCACCTGGTCCTGCCTTCCCCCATGGGGAGACGCCTTCTTCTTACCTGCTCCATGTAGACCAGCAAGGACTCCTTGTTGTTCTCCCATTCCCGGGGCAGCTCCGACTCGTGTGGGAACTTGTCACAGGACAATTCGATGGTGATCTCAAAACAGTTGGTGTGAAGGTAACTTGAAGTCGTTCATACCTGCAGGTCGAAAGATGGCAAGGCCAGAGGGCTTTTTTAAATTTTTATTTTACTAACATATAAAAACACATACATAGACATTACACAATACACGTACACAAGGCACTACCTTCTTTTCATAACATAAAACATACCTACATTACTCTATATAATACCTACCTATACTGTGCATAATGTGACACAGGTGCGCTGTGGGTTAAACCACAGAGCCTAGGACTTGCCGATCAGAAGGTGGCGGTTCAAATCCCCGTGACGGGGTGAGGCTCCCGTTTGCTCCGGTCCCTGCTCCTGCCAACCTAGCAGTTCGAAAGCACATCAAAGTGCAAGTAGATAAATAGGTACCGCTCCAGCGGGAAGGTAAATGGCGTTTCCGTGCACTGCTCTGGTTCGCCAGAAGCGGCTTAGTCATGCTGGCCACATGACCCAGAAAAACTGTCTGCGGACAAACGTCGGCTCCCTTGGCCAATAAAGCGAGATGAGCGCTGCAACCCCCACGGGTCCCTTTACCTTCTTCTATACTGTACATATCAACATACCTACACACCTACCCCACACGGACACCCACCAAGTGACTTGACCTCCAGCCGTTCTTGTTACACTACTTTATTTTCACCTAGCTTAAACACATTTCATTATTTCTTTAATATCTTCTTCTATCTTAACTTTACTCTCCTTTCACGCTATCATTTTCTGGATTCACTCAGTATCTGTCAGAAATTTTACTTTTTCCACATAAATTTTGATTGCCCACTCCTTATTCACTTTTGTACCATAGCTCCTCTTATCCTCCCTGTTAGTTCGGCAATATTGAAGTACAGTGGTACCTCTGGTTACATACTTAATCTGTTCTGTAGGTCCGTTCTTAACCTGAAACTGTTCTTAACCTGAAGCACCACTTTAGCTAATGGGGCCTCCCACTGCCGCCGTGCGATTTCTGTTCTCATCCTGAAGCAAAGTTTTAACCCGAGGTACTATTTCTGGGTTAGCAGAGTCTGTAATCTGAAGCGTATGTAACCTGAGGTACCACTGTACTTCAATATTGCCGAACTAACAGGGAGGATAAGAGGAGCTATGGTACAAAAAGTGAATAAGGAGTGGGCAATCAAAATTTATGTGGAAAAAGTAAAATTTCTGACAGATACTGAGTGAATCCAGAAAATGATAGCGTGAAAGGAGAGTAAAGTTAAGATAGAAGAAGATATTAAAGAAATAATGAAATGTGTTTAAGCTAGTTGGAAAAATAAAGTAGTGTAACAAGAACGGCTGGAGGTCAAGTCACTTGGTGGGTGTCCGTGTGGGGTAGGTGTGTAGGTATGTTGATATGTACAGTATAAAAAGGTAAAGGGACCCGTGGGGTTGCAGCGCTCATCTCGCTTTATTGGCCAAGGGAGCCGACGTTTGTCCGCAGACAGTTTTTCTGGGTCATGTGGCCAGCATGACTAAGCCGCTTCTGGCGAACCAGAGCAGTGCACGGAAACGCCATTTACCTTCCCGCTGGAGCGGTACCTATTTATCTACTTGCACTTTGATGTGCTTTCGAACTGCTAGGTTGGCAGGAGCAGGGACCGAGCAACGGGAGCTCACCCCGTCACGGGGATTTGAACCGCCAACCTTCTGATCGGCAAGTCCTAGGCTCTGTGTTTAACCCACAGCGCCACCTGTGTCACATTATGCACAGTATAGGTAGGTATTATATAGAGTAATGTAGGTATGTTTTATGTTATGAAAAGAAGGTAGTGCCTTGTGTACGTGTATTGTGTAAATGTCTATGTAGTGTTTTATATGTTAGTAAAATAAAAATTTAAAAAGCCCTCTGGCCTTGCATCTTCGACCTGCAGGTATGAACGACTTCAGTTACCTTCACACCAACTGTTTTGAGATCACCATCGAATTGTCCTGTGACAAGTTCCACACGAGTCGGAGCTGCCCCGGGAATGGGAGAACAACAAGGAGTCCTTGCTGGTCTACATGGAGCAGGTAAGAAGAAGGCGTCTCCCATGGGGGAAGGCAGGACCAGGTGGCACCCCATTGATTTCTTTCTTTGCG